AAAAAAAAAAAAAAAAAAAAAAAAAAAAAAAAAAAAAAAAAAAAAAAAAAAAAGAAGAAGGAACCTGAAGGATAATCTGCTTCACAAGTACAGAATTTGATGTAGAGTTTCTTAGATATGTGAGGGTCAAAACACTAACTTTGTGAGCTGTTTTCTGGATAGACAATTAAAAAAAAATCAGTGCTATGTTTAGTTCATAGCTAGTTTCATGAATATTGGGGTGGGAATAGGTTATTCCCTACACTGGAGTTCAGTTGGGTGCAGTTGGACTTGTGTGCATAAGCATAAGGATTAGTACTAGATAAATTGAAGATGAATGCCTTTGTGCCAGCGACCTGGAATTGTACATAACATGAATGATTGAAAACTAGACACACAGGAAAGGAAAACTGCTGTAGTAGTTCCAGTGGTCGTAGTTCCAGGATTTGCTTTGGAGGTAAGTTTGCCTGACAATATTTCCCCATGAGGTTCAGAGATCAATAGTTCTTATGCCCTCTAAATAGTTGTCCATACAGTCACTTTTACAGTTGCTGCTTTATGAGCTAGTTTACCATCAGTAGCTTTCTTGGGCCAAAATCTGCTCTTTTGTATAGGAGTGCAACTCTGAAGTCCTTGTGCTGGGGGAAAAATTGTATTTTCTTGGTGAAAATGTTGTAYTATAGATTGTATTGCTTAAGGATGATAATTGTATCTTTCCTAAGTGCTCTGCATATTTAACCTTTCAACTGTTTCTCACATATAATGTAGGATCAGATCTCCATGCTCTGGAGAGACTTAGATAATTAGAATTCAAGTATCTATTCTGTGCATGAATAATTGTCTCAATGCTGCAAATGCCTAGGAGCAGAACCTGCAAAAAAGGTACTYGGTGGCATTTGCAGAAAGCTTCTCAGCTTGAAAATGAGAGAAGGAATACTCTGTTACTGTGAGCTTGAAAACCCATCTCTAGTTTGGCAATAGATACAYATCAAGCTTTGTCTTCAAACAAGGCATTTGTTGCCAACGGGTGCGTGATGCCAGCCTAAAACAACAAAATCACTCAAGTTGTCAGGGGTTTTCTTTACATATTTGGCTGCTAGGGCTGTTTAGAAAGGTCAGAAATTTCACACATGACACAGGGGGCAAATATAGTTTATACATAAGTCTATAATTCTTTTAAGTATTTTATGTCTGAAAACATCCTGTGTTTATGCAATTTATGATGATAGGTGTTAATCTGGGCTTTTGAGCAGTTTGCTAATATTTGTAATACTTAACTTGACAACAGTGGGAAGTTTCTTATTGTCTTTGAATATTGGCTTAAGACAATAGATTATACAAAAACAGATGAGATTTCATGTGTAGCGTAATGCAGTTTCTCAGTGAAATTTCACTGCAGTGGCTATCTAAACCACTTGTAAGTTTGAGAATTTGTATTGGCAGATTATTTTTTTWAAATGACTCAGTACCAATTCATAATTTAAGTAATCACAGTGAAGAGAGCATCAAATTACTGTGTGTTCTTAGATCGTCTTGGCCAAAGGTGCTTTAAAGRTTTTTTTACTGAGAGGCAGAAAGTTAATTTTGAAGTTATTTAAATAGGTGCAGTATTTCTGACTATCACTTTGTGCTGGCAGTCCAGCCCAGTGAGCTTGACTGCACCCATGTATCCCTCATGGAGGTTCACTTAAACTTATTTATCTTTTGGAATGAATCCTCTGCAATTGTGAAGGCCATCACAGAAAACTATAACTGGTGGCTTTGTAATTTTGCATTTTGCACGTAATCCATGAAGTTTGAAGTCTTAATATTCAAAGCCTCACACATCCCTTTTGGGAACACCATCTCTTAAGAGTCCTGATTCTCTAGATTATATGTGTGCTGTCTTATCTAGGCATGGGAAGCAGTGATGAGTGGTCCGACGTTCAGGACATCATAGACTCTACTCCGGAGCTGGATATGTGTCAAGATCCCCGCCTGGAACGCACCGGTAACAGGTATTGGCAGTGATAGGAGATGCCTTTTTTAGTTGTGAAGCAGTATAATGTCATAATTTGGACTGTATTTGCAGTTAAGCTGCTCTCAGAATATGTAGGATGTATAGGCAATTTTTAGAATCGGCAGCAGGAGGAATCTAGGTAGCTGAGCCAGCCCTGTGTGAGGAAGACAAAAGTGCCTGATGTCAGCCTGATATCAGTCTGAACCTGATAAGAAAGGAATGGAGAACATTGCTCCACCAGGAGCTGTTTGAGCAGAATGATCTGTGATGCAGCTAGAGAGTGAAAGCTACAGGAAGGAGAAATGAGCTTCCCCCTCTGTTATTGTGCTCTCTTCTGCTTGAGCCATTAGATGGCCTAGAAAGACAAGATTTTTGATGGCAGGAGAAAGACAAAGATGTGGGAACATGCTCCTCTGTGGTAGGATTAGATAACATTCCATCTGTAAATTCCAAAGTTCTTCTCTTTGATTTACTGAAATGCATTTTGCTGATATGTGAATATGGATTTGTGCAGTGCGTGTGAACTCACTCAAAGAAGAAACATAACCTTTCAGGCTAATTTCACTTACTGGTTGTGAAAGGAAAAACTTTGTTGTTTGAATCTTTATCTGATGTTGTGCTCTAGAGAGGGCTGTCTAGGTTGATGGGCATAGGGGAAGGAATCGTTGCACAGTCTTAATAGTGAGACTTGAGAGCTTCTGTGAGTAGAAAGTTTTCTGTCAAATACTTGTAGTCAGAAATGATTATGATTTGAAAAGGCATCATCTGGGCGAGCTTTGAAGCTGTGCGTGATAAGTACATTCAAATACCTTGATACAAGGCATAAAGTGTGTGCGTGTGTTTTCTTAATAAATTCACTGAGGGAGCCCATGGTGCACAGGTATAAAGCTCTCAAGGTTTTAATTGCAATGGTCTGCAATGCTCAGCGTTTCAGAGAGGAATGTTCCAGCTTAAATGTTGCCAAGTAACAAGAGTCCTTGCTTTTTTTTTCTTCCAACAACAGCCCGACACAGGGGATTGTGAACAAAGCATTCGGCATCAACACAGACTCTCTGTATCATGAACTTTCCACAGCAGGGTCCGAGGTTATTGGGGATGTTGATGAAGGAGCAGATCTGCTAGGTAAAAAAAAAAAAAAAAAAAAAAAGCTAGAATTGTTCTGTTCTGTCTGGTGCAGTGAAAATTATGTGAAGTTTTTAGAAGTATTTATATTTTCGTTTTTTTTCAGAGCTTTGGATCTGTGTCATTTTGAAATGGCATGAAATTTAAAGCTTGCTCCTTCCCCTTCCTTACCCATATTTTCTCCCAGTGATTTGACACAACAGCTTTATTTGTCTGCGCTAAAATAACTCCTTTTGCCAACTGTAGAAGTTCTAACAAACAATATCTCTTTGTTTTCATATGGAGATGATGTGGTCCAAATCATGGCTTTACCCTTTTACATTTACATTTGTTCTGTAATTTGTATTGTAAACAAATTTACATGGTTTACAGGTACATTAGTTCATAAAGGATACAGTTTGGAGAAAAATGTGGAAGAACAATTATTTACCTGGAGTAATTTTCTTTCTCACTACACCCATATGAACAATCCTGCTACCTCTGGTCAATTTTCCTACATATTCTCATGTTAATTTTAGRTTTTGCAGGACTGATCACATTCCCTCTTCTCTCCCCGCATCCTGTTTGTCCCCGTCCCACAAGAATCAGACCACGAAGGCCAACTGGCCATTTGGCTGTGGGGAGATGCTTCCTTTCAGTTTTTAGGATACCTGCCTGTCTTTGCTTTGGAGATTAAAACCTCCTCTTCAAATAACAGGGGTTTTGTGGTGAATACAGAAATGCAGCTGTATTAGTGGTAAGTTTATGTATAGCTTTTTATATGGAAGTTGAAGCGAGATTACCCCACTAGTGCCAGCACTACATTGTCAACAACTGGTAAACACAACTGCTTGTCTTTTGCAGACTGAAATACACATTTATTCTGAGAAAATGTGGTTGCTAATAAAGGATTTATCTTTTGCTCATGAGGAGAGGGGGCATGAGAAGGTAGTGGAAATTAGCCATTGAGCTGCATTTAATGGTACATGATTGAGAAAATAAAGGTTTATCCAGTCCAGGAAGATGTGATCTCCTCAGATTGATGTCTGAAAACTGGGGCAGCTAAGGCATGTGGTTCTGGTTGTACTGCGGGTTACCTTTCTTTGATTTTCTTTTATGTCCTGTATGTAGACTCATGCCATCTACAGCCATGGCAGGTCCTGTCCTTACTATTTCATGCCTTTTGACATTGAAATGGCTGAATCATTGTTAATTTTTTTTAAACAAAATTTTTATTTTGTTGGTTTCAGTCACTGATTGATCCTTTTTTTTCACTTCCTTTCTTCCCTTGTCTCTCTGTGCTTCGCTGGACATGGCCCGTAGGGGAGTTCTCAGGTGTGTATCTCTCCTCCGTTCAGTTTCCTTCATTGTTTTTTTTTCCTTGTCGAGATTGAATGACGTGGTATACACGTGTGATACTCCCCTGCTCTTGTCCACCCACGGTTGGCTTTGCAGAYTTGGTCCCACCTTTGCCTTGCTTGGTTGCCTTGCCCTGGCGGGTCCCCAGGCAGTAGGACCCGGCTGCTTTGTGCTCACATGCTGCTGCATTTTGATAAGCTTTTGTTTGTGTATGTCTTTCTGCCGGTTTGCTCCACTGTATTGCACTGACCAGACACTCAGAATTTTGGGAAAAGACTCTTTTTATGGGTCTCTTTCAATGGGCGAAAAGTTTCTTTTTATCAGGACAGGAATTGTATTTTGAGGAGAGCTCAGAAAGACACAGAAATCAAAATTAGGTTTTACATTTTCCTCCAAGTGAACAAAATTTTGAGGACTCCCTCTGCTTTCCTGTTTCCCGTTGTATGTCAGTTAATACATACTGGCCCTCTTCTGGAGCACCTGTAGGAAAATTAAATTGTTTTCTTGACAGATAGATAGATAAGTGGTAGAGCCTCTACGTTTTGTTGAAGCCTTGTCTTCTGGCACAAGTTTGAGGTGATATATCTCTGTCACCTCTTATTTTTGTGAAAGAGCCGCATTGTGCTAGGGCCACRCTCTGCCACCAAGGCTCTGCACGTGCCATTTTCACATTTCCTTAAAACATTTGGGACCTAATGCAATTTCTTATGAAGTCAAGGGGTCTCTCTTGATTTCAGTGCAAGTTGAATTAGTTCTTCTCTGTAATGAAAGCAGGTGACTTTCACAGATGCAATATGTTAGAAGGCAGCATAATAGCTATGAGCTGTTGGACATAGCGTTGAGCTCCCTCGTGTGCCTCTGTCCACAGGCTAGGGAGGACTCGGTACCTCTTGGTGCTGGGTTTGTAAGGTTAAAAAAAAAAAAAAAAAGGGATGACATCGACCTTTCTTTTAGCTCAAATTGTTTTTTACTCTAAGCCCCCTTTTCAAGTCTTCTCTCTGAAAACCTCCCACTGAAGTTTAGTCTGGGATTTGTCCAAGTAAGAAAATGGATTTGGGTCTGGCCAAATAAGAGTGTTGGTATTTTCCCTCTCACCCTATTATTTTTCTCTCCCTCTTGTCTTTCCCTTGCCCTATTCATCACGTCTGTTCAGTTACCTTTGTTGTGGGGGTGGTGAGCCCAAAGATGACTTGACTAGGGGAAATCATGAAAATGGAAGAAAAATGTGAGCTCAAGTTGAGCTGCTTCTGGAGTCTCAGGTGTAGATCCCTGCTAGGCTGGGCTGAAGCAGAGCAGGGTGTAGATGAGTTTCTGCTGAGCATCACAGCATACGCTGGCAGCACCTGCACACATTCTTACACATGCTGACAAGCTGCACTGTTTGCTGTTTATGGATCAGTACTTAATGGCTGCTTTTTTCTCTTCCTTTCTCCCCCTTTGTCCCCATCTCTTTCTGTTCCCTTTCTCGTATGGGATTGCTCTCATAGTACGGGATGATTTCTTTGGTAAGGCGAAGGCCTTTTTTTT